ACACACACACACACACACACACACACACACACACACACACACACACACACACACATAGACAACCTCGTGATAATATGCGTTTTGTACAGTTGTTAAACAGCACAAAATGCATTAAAAAAAGGGGTGGGGAAGGTACGAAAGTTGTCGCAAAATTCGCATCAATTTTTTCCCCAGACTTTCATTTTGGTTATTTTAAAAATGTTTTCATAAATTAGTACCAGTGGCAGTGGGGAACACCAAACAGCTTGCACATGCACGGTCGTTTATGTGAACCAGTTTTTGTATATTCGTGTTGATTGTTTAAAATCTTTATTTAAGGTTGCAAATGACGTAAATAGAGCGATTCTGGAAGCTTTAAATAAGCCATCAGCACCAAAGTTGGAGACACTCTTCCAAATGATTTTATGGTCCAAAAATAAACTCAATCACAAGGACACACCGGAGCAGTTGAATCGTCTTTTTACTGGACAAGTGGATCCGTTTTCCGTGGACATTCCCAAAAATTCCAAAATCTAGACGGTGCTGCAGATCATTGCTTTTTCATGTATAGTATGTTCTTTTTGCACCTCGGTGGCTTCAGAACAGGGTATGCGAAAACCAAAGAAATCTAATATCTAGGACTCTAATATCTATTTGATGGCGCTGAAATCGATGCTTTCAAAAAAAATTTTTCCGGTTTCATTCACTAAATTGATGGAATTTTTTGAGAAATATGCAGTGCTTATGAGTGCTGTTCGTTTTTGATTTGTTTAGCATCGGACCGTTTCTTTACCGAAAAGGGTTGCATTCAACTTTGATGCTGTTTTCTCACGTTTCACTGCATTTTTTTAAAAAAGAATTTGCGTTTAATTATTAGGAAAATTTTCACAAAACTTGTTAGAAATTCCGGTTTGCATTCTCTCCATTGAATCCTGGTTAGATGACTGGGCGGTTTAGACGTTACCAGTCAAGAGAAAGCCGTTGCTTCCTTCAATAGGACACTTTCGATATTGCCTTTACTTGTAAATTATTTACGCATTATCTTTCGTTGTATAAGTCTGTTTGTGCAGAAATGCTTTGTGCATTTTGTTGTCGGAATTCGTCCCTGGAGGAACACAGCCCATACTGTGACTGCTGCCGCACTTGTCACAACATTGTTCAGTTAATCCTGGTCACCCGCACGCTTTTTTTCCTGTAAGGCTCTGTATTAAGCGTAGGTTTGATTGCTGTGTTCCTCGCTGAATGTTTCTCAAGTTTTTATTTCTCTTTCGATAAAAAATTCTTTTCATCGTCCACAAGGCGTACCTCGAGCAACGTCTTATCACGTACATCTACTGCGTGTTTGCACTGCTGCTTATTCCTTTTCCCGAGTATCTGCGGCAGAAACCAGCAGCACATTTCCTCCTTTTTCCCCTGATCGTCGTCCCTCCTCCTCCCCCCGAACGTACGTAACCTAGCTAACCGTCAAGGACCTACGCCATGTAGCCATTAAATCTACCTTCCTCAGACCCTCTGTCCTGTCTCGAATGAAACATACATCCCCCTTTCCACTTGCCATATTTGAACCCTCGTCACTCACCATGGAGCAAACCTACTCACCAGCACCGGGGAAAAATTTTCACGACTCATGTGTGAGGCTGATCGGACGGAGCCGAATTCTAGTAATTGCTGCTTTCGCAACTCGGGCTGCTTTCGCAGCACTTGCTGCAGCGGAAACGAATATCGCTAGTATTATGCCATAATACAAATTTGCATAATCTTGTAGAACATGCCCGTACGTGTGAACTGGACAATTACAAAGAGCTGGTTTGAAAATCCTTTAGTTGCACATGAGAAAGGGGCATTCGCTTGAAATCTCAGCTTTCTAGCTTTTCTCGTTCCCAAAAGTTAGCGGTTTTCCCGCCGAAATTCTCACGTCCCTTTGCGTGAGACGTGGATTTGCGTAACAGTTGGTATCATGTTCCTGGAGTCGCACTTGGCTAGTGAGCACAGCGGCAAAATTTCAGCATCAAAGTTTGCATGGTTGTTAAGGAGAAATGCCTGGACATACACACACACACACACACACACACATACAAGTACACACGTGCACGCAAACACACGTCTAGGCGTCTACTTTTACGGTCGCGATAAACCAGTAACATTTACACAGGAGAAGCAAAGTACACAAAGGGATTTGTATCGAGTGTTCAGTCATCAGTGGTGCTCAGTCAAAGAAAACAAGTGGAATTTACGAAAAATTTTTCAAGTAAATCTCTTGATCAACAACAGATGTGAGATACCACGAGTGTAAAGCAACAAAAACAAACAACAAATTAAAAACAACATAATTTTTAGATGATAATCTCTACAGTGGCCGGGAACTTAAGTCAGCAACTGATAGCGAGAACAAGGAGTCGTTACCAGCAGCTGATCTTCCTCACGCCATCCAATGCTCTTACGATGCTTTGAATGCGCGAGGAGTAAAAATTACGAGTGTTTCGTGGTGTTATCGAGGAAGATAACGCTGAGGAGCTAAGTTTTTTTATTGGGAAAACTGAAATTTTGATTCTTACGCAGCTTGGTATGGCCAAATCTCGCTCACATCCTACAAATCCTATGGTTAAATGATATGCCTCTTTGATTATACCTACTTTTAATTTTTGCATTTTTTTTCTCAAACGTTTGGCTTTTCGGCTGTTCCCTACCTACC